ATTTATTCATTTATTTATTTATTTATTTATCCGTCCGTCCGTCCGTCCGTCCGTCCGTCCGTCCATCCGTCCATCCATCCAGTCCAACTGGTGGCTAAACCACTTCCTTGGGCAGCAAACAAATTGCAATAACGAAATTTGTCACCCCAAATTAAAAAAAAAAGCCCTGCATAGACAAGGAGCCTAACATTTAAAAATTGAATAACTAATAAAGAACGGTGACTATAAGATAGTTTAAGTATTGAATGCAATACTATTAGGCGGCAAAATGGAGCAAGTTCATAAGTACAACCCCCCCTCCACACACACACAGCCATAAAAGAGGCACAGCCATAAAAGGCTTGTGGAAAAAAAGACCGGTGTTAACTTGTCTTCTGAAACCGAGGAGAGATGGGGCGAATGGTACCTCAAGTGGGAGTGATTTCTAAAGCGGTGGAGCGACCACCGAGAAAGCTCAGTTTCGAGTGACAGATTTTCAGGCTTCCTTCGGGATCGCCACTCACAGCATCCCCAGAGTATGAGATACTACAGGTGGGATGGGTAGATATTTTGAGGGAGAGGCACTCAGACTGGTAGCAAGGTCCTTAAACCGTTAATGGCTATAAATGGTAGCATAAACATTTTCCACTTGGCCTGAAAGCATGCAGGCAACCACTGCAGATGCACCAAGACAGATGATCAAAGATGATGAGTCTGAATGAAGAAGACTGGTATTTAATAGACTGCAGGGTATTATCATTGATCCCTTCACATCCCCTTAGAGTCTGAATGAAGAAGGCTGGTATTTAATAGACTGCAGGGTATTATAATTGATCTGCAAGGCTATTATCATTGATCCCTTCACATCCCCTTAAGTTTCGGGAGGTGAAAATGACTGACAATAGCCCTGTAAGTGTAGTTCTGTTTCCCTCTCCTTTTCTTAAGGGTAAGAAAGCAGCTGTAGCACAAAAAGTTGTTTTGTTTCCCAACCAAAGCAGCAGAAAGTGATTCACAAAAGCCCTGCAATGCAGACCATTGTAATGCCTCCCATCGCAAGACAACAAAAATAACTTGGACACAGCCCTGCTGTGTAGTCTAGTGTGATTGCTCCATTTGTAAGGGAGGGGGAGGAGAAAGTTCCCCCATGTTGTCTTGTTTCCATGCTCAGGTATCTGTTGTGCAAATGGTTCCAACTTTGGACTGCAACTCCCAGAAGCCTTCATCATCAACTCTGCAGGCTGGGGTTTCTGGGAGTTACAGTCCAAGAACACCTGGTTCACCCAAGGTTGGGAACCACTGAACTAAAGAGATTAGGGAAGAGGTGATCTTTCTCGCAAGCCAAGCAAGAGATATGCAGTCTTTTGGGTTCTTCTCACAGTCATTTGTGCTGATTTGAATGAAAACTGAATGTGAAGAGGTATCTCTGGAATATTTGGGACTTCACCCGCATTGAAAAGGGTGTTCATATAAACAGATTTAGGAAATAGTGTGAAGTCCCCAAGCAAAGACAGGAGGCATTCCTGGGAGTGCCGTCGCTCCCCGCGGTTCATAGGGAGACTCAGAACACCCCACCACCCATTCCCCCTAGGAAAGAACATTGGAGTACCGATACCCAGGAGTTGGAAGAGTTATCAAGAAATAAAGGGTGGAAACACCAGGGGGTAGATACTTGGGATCTGGTGTTGGGAATGAAGGGGTTAAGTGTGGCTACCCAGACTGACTGGGAAAAGGTGGAAGGGGATCAATGGTCGAC